TTTTTTTTTTTTTTGAGACAGGGTCTGACTTCATAACCGTGACTGGCCTCAGACTCCATATGTAGACCAGGCTGGCATCAAACTCACAGAAAACAGCTTGGCTTTACCTCCTGAGTGCTGGAATTAAAGGCGTATGCCACCATGCCCAGCTAATTTCAACATTTTAAAGTTTTAAAATGTGTAGCAAAAGCAGTCCATTTGGGCTCCTAAAGATTGCATCTTTCAATACCATAATCAGCTGGGTGACCAAGCCTTCAATATGTAGACCTTCGGGGATATTCAAGATCCAAACTGTAGGAGCTGGAGGAATGGCTCAGGTGTTAATAACATTGCTGCTCTTGCAGAAGACCCAATTCAGCACCCACAGGCAGCCAACAACCATATATATGTACCGTTTGTCTTTTCTGGCCTCCACAGGCATTCATACATGATGTGGTGCACCCACATACATGCAGGCAAAACACTTGACAGATAAAAACTTGAAAAAAAGAGATCCAAACTGTACACTTAGGAGGCTGAGGCAAAAGAATCATGACTTTGAGTCTGGGCTACATAGCAAGATGTTGCCTCAAAAATCAAAAGAAAAAAGGAGGGAGGGAGGCAAAAAGATCCAAACTATAGCATGTGAGTTCTCCAACCCTTTCAAGATTGTTTTGGCTAAAAAACAAAAATTGGGCCTGGTGACAAATACCTTTAGTCCCAGCCCTCAGGAGGCAGAGGAGGGTGGATCCCTGAGCGATGAATTACTGTTTTTAACCCATTGGTGAGCCATAAAGTTAGAGGATCTCCCCAGCCTTTCTTTTTTTTCATTTTTGAATTGCTTAGTTGAGATATTTTAAAATACTATATTAAAATATTAGCAGGGCTGACAAGATGACTCGGTGAGTAAAGATGCTTGCCACCAAACCTGAATTTGATCTGGGACTCACATGGTGGAAGGAGAGACCTATTCTCCCAAGTTGTCCTATGACCTCCACACATGTGCTGTGACTTGCATGTGCCCAACACACACACATACATACATAACACAAAAATGATAAAAATATGTAAGTAAAATTACATTTGATTTTTGTTTTTTTTTTAAGCAGTCTTTGAGACAGGGTCTCCCTGCAGCCCCAGCTGGCCTAGAACTCACAGAGATTCTCCTGCCTCTGCCTCCCGAGTGCTGTGATTAAAGACGTGTGCCACCATGCCCGTCTACATTTGAAATATATATATATATATATATATTTTTTTTTTGTTGTTGTTTTTTGGCTTTTTTGAGACAGGGTCAAAAAAGCACTTGAACAAATTTGTATGGGTCTATTTTTAGTTTTTCTGTTCCCTTGATCTACAAGACCAGCACCACATGGTCTTGATTACTGTCGCTATATGTCTGCAAGTCAGGTAGACTGGGCCATCGATGGCTCGGCTAGTAAAGGCACCTGATGCCAAGCCTGATGTCCTTAGCTCAGTCCCAGGGACCCACATGGTAGGAGAGAATAGAATCCTCCAAGGTGTCCTCTAACTTGCACATGCTTGCTGTGCCATGTGCATGCCTCCTCAACCCCCCCCCCCGCCCCCGGAAATAAAAATAATGAAAACAGAACAATCTCTTCTACCTTAGTTTTCAATGCAGACTGATTCCTTTGCCTTTCCAGATGAACTGTAGCATAGTATTTACATATCTTTCCTGTCAAATCCCCCCCGCCTCCCGTATTGGAGAGTAAACCTAAGGCTTGTGCATGCCCAGTAATTGCTCTACCACTAAGCCACATCGCCAGCTCTCCTCCCATCTTCTTCATCTTCCTGAGATTTTGATAGTAATTGAATTACATATCAATTTGGGAGACTAGATCGCTTTATATGCCAAGTCTCCCAATACATGAATGTGGTGTGGTGTGTCCTTTAGTTTTTACTCCACCTTTTTCATCAGCCGCTTCTGCTTCTGTCTTAAAATTCCATGCTTATCTTTTTTGTTTCGTTTTGTTTTAAAGATAGTCTCTGTATATAGCCCTGGCTGGCCAGATACTGTCCCTCTAGACCAGCCTTGCCTTGAACGCACGGAGATCCTCCTGCCTCTGCCTCCCTAGTACTGGGATTAAAAGTATGCTCTATCATACCCGGTACATGTCCTGTCTTATTCAGGGAGATTTTCTTAGCTTACCTCCTTAGGTCTCAATCTAACCCTGATCTGCTTCATACTGACAAGCCCATCTGTGCATTGCTTATGCATGTGGGCCTTCTCACGCATCCAGGTGATACCAGCGGTAGGATCTAGTTGCTTCATGTGTGGCGGACATAATTTTCTTACGTTCTCCCTTCTGAACAGGTTATTTCAGTCTCTTGCTCATTACTTCTGAAGAGCAGCAAATGGCATTGTGCTGTGCTGTCTTGAGAAGATACTCCTGAGGACCCAGCAGTGATCGGTGAAAGCAACAGATTTGTGTTCATCTGGGTGACTCTGAACAGGAGTGATGCCTCCAGGCAGGTGGTATGCTGCCCGCTCAGCTCAGGCCCAGGCTTCAAGGAAGCGTGGACACCCTAACTTGATAAAGAAGGAAGAGGAGGAGGATGAATATACTCTGGTGCAGACTGCCAGGCCACAGACACTTAACCGCCCTGGCCAGGAGCTATTCCGCCAGCTCTTTAGGCAGCTTCGCTACCACGAGTCTTCTGGGCCCCTAGAAACTCTGGGCCGCCTCCGGGAGCTCTGCCGCTGGTGGATGAGGCCTGATGTTCTTTCCAAGGCACAGATGTTGGAGCTGCTGGTGTTGGAGCAGTTCCTGAGTATCTTGCCTGGAGAGCTTCGGACCTGGGTGCAGCTCCATTGCCCTGAGAGTGGTGAGGAGGCTGTGGCCTTGCTGGAGGAGCTGCACAGGGATCTTGATGGGACACCA